CCCACTCTTTTTTTTTTTTTTTTAAAGACAGAGTGTCACTTTGTTGCCCTCAGTAGAGTGCTGTGGTATCACAGCTCACAGCAAGCTCCAACTCTTGCCTCAGCCTCCCAAGCAGCTGGGACTACACGTGCCTGCCACAACACCCGACTATTTTTTGTTGCACTTTGGCCAGGGCCGGGTTCAAACCCGCCACCCTCAGTATATGGAGCTGGCGCCCTACTCATTGAGCCACAGGCACCACCCTCAAGTGATCCTCTTGCCTCAACCTTCCTAGGAGCTGGGACCACAGGTGCCCACCATGAAGCCTAGCTAATTTTCATATTTTTTGTAGAGATGGTTCTCACTTCACTCTTGCTTAAGCTAATCTCGAACTTCTGACATCAAGTGATCCTCCCAAGTTGACCTCCGAAATGGACAGGATTACAGGTGTAAGCCATGGCACCCAGGCATAGTCATCTTTTAACTTTCATCACGTACCTCCAAGCCCCCAAATCTCATTTACTACATAGATGAGTAAGGCAAGGTTTACTCAAGAACTAGAAAACTTGAACTAGAAAAGTTGCTCGAGATTTCTTAGTTTAAAAGGCAGAACTCCAGAATATGATAAACATTATGTATTTTTACCACCTCAGATCGAAAGGAAAATCTTTTCATTCAAGGCACGTGGGACCTCAGGATCAAGTAAATGGTTAGAGTCCTGCACCACGTGTGGTAAGGACGACAGAGATAAGAGCTTAGAAGAAGACTTTCTGCTCTCTCAGTCTCCTGCCCTGAAATATACAGCAGCTGGAAGCAGGTTCATAAAAGTCCCTCCAGGAAAGAATTACCTGCAAGCTATTTGATAGATGTCAGTGCATACACTAGTATTGACCAAGGGGTTGCAACTCCCAGCTTGTTGGGTCTGTACATCAGTCTGAAAGTTCAGAGCTAAACACTGGGTGACATTTTACCATGCAAAATCTCAAGTGGTGGTTTTTAAGTTCTCACAAAATTTATTATGAACAATTATCCTAATATAATCCCCAAACTTACACAGGCACAAAGTTTCTTATTGTACCCAGAAGCAATTGAGACATGAGGACAAATTTAGTGTACTAACTTAGAAACTTATACAGAATTCTAGCAATTGTATTATACCAGGAAATATATAAATTCCCCAAAACAACATTTTCTTGTGTTGTACATATAACTCCAGACACGTGAATGTAACCGTCACACGGGGTAGGCTGATTTGACTTTGTATATAATAAAACCAGGAAAAAACAAAACTGTTTATTCAAATATCCCCAGAGTCTTTCTGTTGTGTATAACTAAGCAGTCTTGATCACTACAGATAAGGTAAATGACTACTCAAAAAACAATTACATAGGTGGCACCTGTGGCTCAAAGGAGTAGGGCACTGGCCCCATATGCTGGAGGTGGTGGGTTCAAGCCCAGCCAGCCAAAAACTGCAAAAAATAATAATAATAATAATTACCAAGTCTTGTAATGACTCTTATTTACTTCCTTTCTTACTATAAAAGATTTTTATATTTCTGTTCATTTTATAATTAAATCTAACATTCGGCTAAGCTGTATTATTCAAAAAATGTTCAGTT